TTCCATCGTATCAAATGCCTCTAACGTTGAAACGAATCACGACCCGTTTTCCTTCTGTAATAAAAAGAAGCAAAAAAAAACGAATGGGTGGGAGGGGAAGGGGAGGGGGGGGGAGATGGTAGGTGAAAGAAATTAAGCGATCTCTGATTACTTCGCATGGGAACGAAAAAGATTAAGCCAGGCGGTTCGTTTAATTTCATCCCTTTTCGCAGTCTATCAATCGCGAATGAAATCCTCCCCCTACTCCCGCCTTTTTTTTCACCCCCATTTCGTTATTCGACATATTTTCTCTATGCTGTTGTAGAAAAGAAAAAGAAATCACAGAAGGATAAAAACAACACGCACACACACACACACATATTTCAGTAGCAAAAAAAAGCCAAAACAAACAAAAAAAAAAGCAAGTCAAATCAAAAGTTTCGACAGAAATTGGACTTTTTTTTTCTACAATCAAACGTGTGAGACTCGTGATAAGAAATTTCGACTCAAAACAACTAACACAAGTCTGATTCATTCAATTTAATTCTTCCTAAACATTTTCTTATTTTAAATTAGATATAATTTGTCATTAACACACTTGACGATTTGTAAATAATATAAACAACCCTTATATTAATATTTATCATATTAATAAAAAAATTAAAATGTAATATTAATGCTAGTAATTTATTTCTACATTGAGAATTAATGAATAAAATGATTAAAGGGTTTTATTTAATGAATTATTGCGCAAAAATTAATAATATAAATATTCAATTATTTATATATATATATATATATTAATATTATATAATTATTTATATATTTTAAATTAATTATAAATATTCAAAGAGAGATAGGACAAATAAAAAATAAAATAAAAACAAAAAAATATCAGTGGTATGAAAGGCAGATCGAGGAGAAAATTATACAAAAAAAAAAAAAGAACAAACCGTAAAAATACAAAAATCGAATCACGATTTTCGTTTGGATGCGCATATATACAACGCAGCTGTTCATTTCACGTAACAATGATTTCGAAATACGCGCGAACGGTCACCCGCTGACCCATTCACAATTTCTGCTGCATTCTCCTACCCTTTCTCTCTCTCTCTCTCTCTCTCTCTCTCTCTCTCTTCACCTATCTCTTTCTCTCCCTATTATCGTAGCCCCATGGTTCATAAACGTATCCTAATATATTGGTTCATCTTGTGCACGAAAATTTAGGCTTCCACGCACGTCAAATATTTAGCGTATTATTATTCATTTTCTATGACCCAAATTAAATAAATTTTGTTTAAACCGTTAATTTTTATTTTTTTTTTTTTTAGTTCTATCATTTGTTATTTCGTAAAATTTACATTTTGATAGATTAAATTTAACGGAAAAAAAAAAAAAATACACGTGAAAGAAATAAAGATAAATGAGAATTTCATACAAAATGTAATCCTTCCTTTCGTACATTACGTGAATGTAAAATAAAAAACACAAAAGAAAAAAAAAACGAAAAAGAAAAAGAAAACAAAATACGTAAAAGTAAAAATAATAAGAATTAATTTGTTTGAATATTTCCAAGGCAAAAGGTTAGTTGTAGTGGTAAATCGGTAAAAATTCATTAAAAAAAAACGCGTTGTTTGCACTGGTTTATTTTTCAACAACATTGTTTCGTTAACGAAGCAGCAGTTTTATCGATCGAGAAAAATTCCGGCTAAAGAAAAAACAACATTTTTTTTATTCAATCGTAGTTATACGCTAGCGAAATCACGGTAAAATAATAAAAAAAAAAAAAAAAATACTAAAATACTAAAATACTAAAATACTAAATTACCATACCGAACGAGATTCGAAAGTTTACTGAAGAACTCTACTGTAAAATAGGAAGAAAAAAAAAGTAAGGGTGAAAGGCGTGAAAAGTTGTTGTTGTTGTTGAAAGAAGTTATTTTTCGTTTCAGCTGTATACTTGAGAGCTGCATTCGTTGCATAGATCGAGGATTTTTTTTTCTTCAGTGCTGACCAAGGGACAGGGAAATGATGATAATAAGCCCTTCAAAACGAATTTTTTCTCTTTTAGTCGAAAAGGTTTTCTTAAAGTGACACACACACATTTGTGTGTGAAATCTCTTCTATTTTTTTTTTTTTTTTACAATTACAATCAAAATTATTTTTGTATGTAAAAATACAGTGTCACAATGCTGGTTTCCTATGAACTTTGAAATTATTGAATTAATCTCTTAATATTATTTAATATAAACAATTTTGTTCCTATTAAATACATATTTAAATTAAATTATTTTTTATTTTGTGTTATTTTTATAGCGTTTAGTTTTTATTTTTTAATATAATAATTTAAGGATTTATAATTTAGAGGTTATCCAGTTCTTTTTAGTTATTGAAAGTTTTCAATAGATGGTGCTGTATTACAATTCAATTATTTCACGTTTTTTTCAGATTTGCATACGACATAACTAACCTTACTTTTTATATTTTTTCAAGTATTAATATTTTATGTATAACATTGTAATTATGGTATTATTTTGTGTGTTATTATAATTTACTAAACAATTTATAAAATTCTATGAAATCAACATTTTATTTCTACTACAAATATATATATATATATATATATTTTTTGTTCTTTTATTTCTTTGACTTGTTTCATTTTCATAGAATTGATGTACATTTCGTTGTTGTTTATCAAACAACGATACAAAATCTTTTCCTTTCGGTTTGCATACTTCAGAAAAAAAAATCACAATCGAATAAATTTCTCGAATACACGTTTGGGTTGGTAGTAGTAGTAGTAGTAGTAGTAGTTGGGTTGGTAACGACGAAGACGTTATTTAAATGAAAAGAATAAATGAATAATCGATCGTTTCCTTTAACTACGTAGGAAAAGCGAATAAAATTTACCCCGATACTGTCTCCTTTCCTTTCCTAACCTCACTTCACTTCACCTCACCTCACCTCACCTCAACCGTTTGTACACGTTGAATTTCAATTCCGTTTTCCACGTTGATTAATCAAACGAATAAGTTACGATATTTCTAAAGACGCGTAAAAGTTTATCTGATTTCTTGATCAGCTAAATATCAAAGGAATATAATATGAAACACATTAAATGGCACAGGAAAGAGTTCGAATGAGAAGAAGAATAAAAAAAAAAAGAAAAAAAAAAAATAGCTAAAGCTTGTGAAATCATATTGGAATTTAAATCGAAGAAACGTCATATTTCGCTTTTGTTAAATTTGTTCTGATTCTACCAATGAGAGATCTGTGAAAAAGAAAGATTTTTCCTTCAACCCACTCCTACCCCTCCCATTACCATCTTGCCAGAACTAATCGCAGTTCACGGTATTATTACTTTCTCTTAGATAGAAAAAAATCGACCCATCATTTTTACAGTTATTTGTTTCGTCTACACTATTATTGGAATACGTATACACACATGCACACATAAATATATATATATATATATATATATTTTTTTTTTAATATATATCGTAAGTTAGTCATCTATATAACACTACAGTGTAAAGTCGTTTGAAAGCATCTACAAAGAACGACTAGCCGGAATACGCGCGAACGAACACCCGTTGACCCATTCGAATCGGTTGCATCCTTTCCCCGATCCCTCCCTCCCTCCTTCCCTCCCTCCTACCCCCTTCCTTTTTTCCCTCTCGCGTTTTTAACCTTTTCTTTTTTGTACCTTTTTTCCCCCATTCCCTTTTCTCTGCCACCCCTTTTTCCTCTAACTCTGACACCCGTTCGGTGAGCAACTGAAATGACGTTGTGGGTGACGAGCAACGTGACACACATATACACACGTATATAAAAAGAGTGAGTGATTTACGCTCGCGTGCGCATACACACAGACAGACAGACAGACACACATATGTTCGTTGAAATCACGATCGAAGTACCATCGGCACGGAATATATCTGTGCTTTGAGGCAAACTTTTCAATTTGCTCGGAAAAAGTCCCACTCGGCTAATGCTCGTAATCAATATACCAACGTATCTGCCCTTCCAATCTGCTCCCTTTACCCCCCTTCCCCTTCCCCTCCCCCGTTCGTCCCTTCACACGTAACTATACGTGTACATTCTCTCTCTGGGTCGACATAAAAGTGCGAGCTGATGCGTTAGCGTGAGAATTATATTATACTAACGTGTCCAGTTTCTATCGAAACTTTTGATTTGACTTTTTGAAGTGAAAACTTTTTCAAAATAAGTATGATTTGAAAAAATGCAACACGATGATGTAGTGGGAAAAACTAAACCGGTATGAAGTGAAAACAATTTTTTTCTGCCCGAAAGACAGGCAACCCGTCATACACACGTGTATAAACAGTTTTGACTGGAAAAAAAATTCCGTCCCAGTAGATGGCGCTCGCAAGTGTGTTTCAAATTGTGTCTGGAGGATTGCATACGAACAGGCGCAAATTTTTATAAATTAAATTAATAATTAAATAAATAATTACTAATTAGAAGTACAAATAATATTATAATAATATTATATAATAAGTTATTCTCGAAATTTGTTTATTTAAAGGTTTCACTTCTAACTTGTGTGATATGCACACATGTAATTTTTGTTTTTTATCTCATTTCCAAACTTACTTACAATTAAACAAATTAAAAATGTAAATAACAAAAACAAAGATTGAGATATTTCGTTTAAAAGGTTTTTAAAAAAAAAAGTCTGATGAATTTGTCGAAATGTATAAATCTAGGACGTTGACTTGTTTTACCAAGAAGTCGGTCAAAAGTTTCGTTAGGTTGTTACGCCTGACCGCAACTAGGAAATCGTAATTGTTACTGGGGGAATAATAGAACCGATCGGGAACGCGATGCTTTGTATCCATTAAAGTATCTATCATAGTATTCTGGAATACTAGGTTGACTAAGGTAGAAAGGAAAAGCAAACCTTTCAATGTTTATTCATCTCTGTCTCTTTCTATCTTCTTTTTCTATTAATTAATATCTCAATTTATTGAAGAAATCGTTAAAGTGTGAATGTCCTTTGTGAACAATATATATTTGTCCTTTACAAAATTATTTTTCTTTTAACAATTAAAAAAAAAAAAAAAAAACAAGACCATTGTGTTATTAATTTCATTCATTAAAAATAACTAACAAACCCTACACAATTCTTGTCTTTCTTTCTTTTGATTCTTTTTCTTCTTAAATTGATCTGCCATCTTATAATACAATTTCCTCTTATTGGTTAGACTTGTATAAAGTAAAAAATAAAAATAAAAAGTAAAAAATATCTTTGAATAATTTACTAAAAAGTAATGAAATTTTGGTTGTTTTTTTTTTTTTTTGTAAAATCAGATGCACCAGAAACTAGGGTTGTTGGTGTACCACATGGCCAATTGGAAGAAGGACGAGATAAATTGGAAATAAGGTGTTTGGCTGACGCTAATCCACCAGCATCGATCATTTGGAGGCGTACGAAGACACTAGGTGTCACTGATATCGCAAGCATCGGGGAAACCCTAATGTTTTCACCGGTTTATAGAAACCATGCGGCTGAATACATCTGCGAGGCAACCAACACCGAGGGTGAAAGTAGTCCGGTTATGGTTCAAGTTTCCGTAAATTGTGAGCTATATATTTTTTTTTATCTTTATCCCCCTCCCTTCATCCCCCAGCCTACCCCACGAAAATAAAAGTACGAAGGATCTGAAAATAAAAACCAAAAAATAAAAAAACACTAGAGAAAAATGAGAAACAACTAGGTGCATAGATCTAAGGTACTTGTATGTGTCCGTTATTAATGGCAAAGCTTAATCAACAACCGTACTCATACACACACACACACACACACACAGATACACATTAATACACCCTCTCGCTTATGCTTGTTCCTTCCCACCTTCGTTTTACGATAAAACGTACACCCATCTTTCTCCACGTGTAGGAAGATGCTACTTGAGTGGTTCACGTGCTATAACCATCGAAAGTAAATAATGTTAGCCATTTTCTTACATAAAGGAAAGAGCTTTATTGTTCTTTATAAACGAGAAGTAGAACCTCGTTGAATTACTCTACCCCACCATCATCATCATCATCCTCCTCCTTTTGATGTTTCTTTTCTTATCCCACAATCTTATTTTCTACAAATTTATAACCAGTCTTAACTTTATCCATAATCCACAACCGAGAATTATTATTAATGGAGTCCGTTATGTTTCTTGATCTTTTAAAATAATCTTCTACTATCCCCAAACCCCCCAGTCCCCACCCCCATCAAAGATTGTTCCCAGTAATCAAACTTGAC